ATTATATGTGAGACATAAATACTCTCACAGTAAAGAGGAGTAGAATGGTGCTTATCAAAGTCTGAAAGATTAGATAAGCAAGAAATAGGATTCCTACATTTTATGTGCAGCATATTAACTACAGCTATGAAGGCTATATTGCATACCTGAAATTTGCTCAATAATAAATTAAAGAAAAACATTAATTTACTGAGATGATCAATGTGTTCATTAGATTGATTGCAATTATATAATATGTACACATATCAAAACATCCAGAGTATGATTTAAGTATGTGTGCTGCCTCCTGAGCAATTCACTACACATTAACAGGATGAGAAAAAGTACAAAATAATACTAATGACACTATTAAAATAAGTCAACTTCTCATAACATTTCTTTGTACATTTTTCACTCTAGAATATATTCCAGTAGAGATTGAGAGTTTCAAATTGTGTTTCAAATTCATTTGGGTTGTCTAATTAGTAAATGATTAGGGTAAATTTTATGTATAATTTTGTTATCAATTTAGAGTATAGTCTTTTATTTGAAAATAGATCTTCTATATGATTTAAGTCCTTTGAGGTACTATATGACAATGTGTGTTATGACCCCATTTGTTTCCTATCATGGTGAATGTTCCGTGAGTGCATGTGGGTACATAATGAAATCTCACATCTGTCTTCAACTTCCTATTTCTGCTCCAATACACATTCCAGCATTAGTTTCTTGTAAACTATGTGGCATACAGGACTTCTTTTAGGAACAAACCAAGCTATATTAGCATTTTAATCAAGGTTTTCCACGAATTGTTCTGAAGGGTAAGAACCTGTAAGACAATTATCATAATTCCTAGAAGCTACAAAATACAGATTGAGTAAGTCAAGGGAAATCAAAACACAAGGCAGTTCCCCACAGCCTTGAAAAGGAAGACTCATCATTAACATGTCAAGTCTCCTCTAATTCATTTACAGGTTCAAAGAAATTCTAATTAACAACCAATCAATTTCTTTGTAGAAGTTGACAAATCTGTATGAAGTGTTTGTATGAAAATACAAAACACAGTTGACCTTGCCTCTTCCACATGTCCTCTGCCGTCCTCAGGCCCAGGTACCCATCTTAAGCCCTACCTGCTCATCAGGGCCCCAAAATACTGCATTCCCCAGCCACGTGAAAGTGAAAGGACTGACTGCACAAGAAGTCAGGCCACCATAGAATACTAGGCACAGGCTGGAGAGGTGCTTCTCAAGAAGTCAGGTATCTCATGCTTTAGGAAAGATGGCTCACAAATATCCCAAATAATATGCTGCACAGATACTATAACCTCATCAAACAAAAACGGGTTAGGGAATTCCTGGGAACCTACAATAAATGCCCAGAACTCTCCTTTTTGGACTGGGGTAAAGACTTCACAAGAAAGGTAAAACCAGAAGAGGACAGTTGTTCAGAACGTTGCTTAAGAAATATTTAAAAATGACATAAAGAATGTCTATAAGGTTTCAGGAATAAAATATTCAACAGAACTAAGCCCTGGCAGCTAAAGCAGGACTTCTTGGGCATGTGCAATGGGGATGACCGCGGATGGACTCGGAGTGGAGGCTGCCATCTCCATTAGGCTGGAAAATGGAACCCATCTGGGGAATCCCTGGAAGCCGAGGGCACTGTGTGAAACCATCTGCCATGAAAATTTGGCCAATGGAAATCACTGGGAATCCAAAATTGCTGCTCATCAGGTCATATTGTTCAGCGAAAATAATAAGATATGATGTTTGTTGAAGCCTTAAGTTTCAGCAGCTTGGTCACTTCATTAGAAAGACAAGCCACTGGTTTGTCTGTTGTGACTGTAAATTTTAAAGCAAATATGTATTCACTCATGTAAGAAAAGATTTATTATTGAAAGTGAATTAAATGGAAATATTGAGCAGTTATTTGTAAAATATAGAGTGATGTATTCTGGCTAGACTGTGAACAAATTAAAATGCTTCTCAGTCAGCATCATTCTCCAATATTTCTTTTTCAGGTCTGCGTCAAATTGCTGGTAAATACAGAAAAGAGTTGCTTTCCAGTCAATGGAATGCACACCACTTTCTTGCCTCCCTTGTGAGGATGGGCATTACAAATTCTTATCCTTTCTGCATGTCCATATATGTTTAGGAAACTTCTCATCTGAGGTTGTCTGTTGAATTTTATGGACTAGTGGAGTCTGTATTGTTTTGCATTTTGTTCAAAATGTCCACATGAATGTGTATGGGTCTGACCAACATGTTTCAGTTTTTTATCAGCTATGACATGAAGAAAAAAACATGACCAGAGTTCAACTGGGATCTTAGAGCCAATGAAACTTGAAACAAAGTCAAATATTTTAAGAAAGTATAGTTTATGGCTAAGTACACCAAGAAATTTGGTAAATGTGAGATAACAGACATAGATTAATATAGACCTGATTTGTGAATGGATGTTTCTACTAGTCTAAATGTGTTTAGGGGGATCAGCCATTATTTTCAACTTACCAACATAATTTCTGTTTTATTATATTTTGGGGAAATGGGAGTTTCATTTTGCTTTAAGAAAGTTAAAATGTTGAAACATGGATAAAATATATAATTTGTCATAATGGATACATGAAAAATAGACTAGTTTCATCTTAAAGTAAGAAAATAACCAAAATTAATTTACTACATGTGGAAAACAAAAATTCAGACATTTTATTCATTTAAAACTTTGGGCAATTCATGAATATACTTTAACATTGTTGTTTCATTTTGTGTTCTTTTGTGTGTAATCAAGCCCTATATCATTATTTATTACATACATTTCACAAAAATAATTAAACATGGAAATAAGGAAAATTTTGCACAACAGAATCTCAAGTACAATGGGAGTGTATGTCAGATTTTGAGGACTTCGCAGTTGCCCATGCGCTAATTAGGAATTTCTGAGATGTTCAACCCCGATTCTGTCCGCTCCTGGAACAGATTGGTAAATTTCAAGCATACTTTTATTGTTCTTCATTTCGGGTTTTATTTTTTTCTTGTTTTTTTGAGTGAATCTTGCCATGCAGTTCAGGCTGACCTTGATATCATGCAGCTAAAGCTGGCCTACAACTTGCAACCATTTTCTTGCCTCAGCCTTCTGAGTGCTAGGATTATGGAAGTGTGCCACCATTTCCAACTATCATAATTTTCATACTCTTCAAATATGCATTGTGGAAATTAGCAAGAAAGCAAAATATGTAAAACATGAAAACAGTTACCAAGAAGTCCCTAACCCTTGAGCAATGGAGAAGGCACTATCAGCCACCAGGGAAAATCAGCAATGAAGCAGTGCAGCTCCTGTTTCCAATGGGCTGGCAGATGTCCTACCAGCTGCCTGAGTGAAGCAGCTAGGAAGCAGTGTAGCCTCCAGCCTGGTACGCCTGTAGAGGCCTTACTGGTTGCCTGGGAGAAGCGATAAGGAAGCCGTGTTTTTTCCCTGTGTGTCTACAGAGGCCCTTTCAGACAGGGAGAAATAGAAAGGAAGCTGTGTGGATTCCTCCCTGTGTTCCTGTAGAGGCCTTACTGGCTGGGGAACAGAGGCAAGGAAGTAGAGTTGCCTCTCTGTGCTGGCAGAGGCCCTGTCAGCTGGGGAGAACTAGCACCTACAAAGATGAAATTAAATGACACCACTGCATTCCAATTAAGATGGCTAAAATTTAAAAATCTCTCCAACACCAACTTCTGACAATGAGGGAAGAACTTGAAAACATCATTTTTACTAGCTGGAAAACAAAAGGAAACGCTCTGAAAACAGTTTGGCATTTCCCATGGAAAGTAAAATATATACTTGCCATAAAACTCAGATATTCTATTCCTAGATATTTACCAATGAAATTAAAACTTGAAGCTACATGAAAAAATATTCACTCATACACATTCTGTATTATCATATTAGAATATTTTCACTTGTAAATTGAAATATCTGGAAAGAATCTGAATATCTCTAATTGAAAAAGGTATTAACAATGTTAAATGAAATATATTAGGTCTGCAATGAATGCTCTGCTGATATCTGCAAGAATACTCAAAGACATCAAACGCATGATAGGAAAGAATCCTGTTTCAAAGTAATATATATATATATATATATATATATATATATATATATCCTTGGATTATTAAAGCAATATTTGAGTAAAGGCAAAATTAGGACAGCAATATATCAGTGATTTCCAGGATCTAATGGAAAAAGACCAGTTAACTACAATAGTACAGGAAAACATTATAGGGTGATAAGCATTGAATATATTGAGTGCAATTGATCCAATACAGTGGGTACTTGGCAAAACCCACCACAATCTCAAATTGGCTTCTTATGGTTTCCCCAAAAAGAACATCTAACAGCAATAAAGAACTTCAATCCAGTTTCCTTTTCAAGGGAATCTCATTTTTTAAAGAAAACTGTTCACCAGATATCACTGTAGCTATCCATGAAATCTTATATTCAACAACCCTAAACTTAAAAAAAACCATAGATTTTGACCTAGGGATAGAAGTAATTTTAAAGCAGAGCTCATAATCCAGCTAGTAAATCTGTTATACTGATCAAATAATGAGCATCGCAACTTCAAAACTTCTCTTTTAGTCCCACAAATTATCTGAACATCAGGCATATTTCTTTATCATTAATGTGGAGCACAGAAAATTTCATAAGGCGCTTATTTTTTCTCCTTGGAAAAAAGTACAACCACTGTGCTGAAGTACAGTTTTACCTAGGCTGAGATAAAGCAAGTTAAAAGAAATGATGTGCTTGGTTTTATCGTTTCCTTACTTCTAAAAGAACAAAAACCGAAGTTTTGGCCACATCTTCCACAAACTTCCTATTACATTTCTTACAAAATAAAGGTCAATTAATTGTCCTTCTTTAATAGTATTGTATAAGCAAAGAGATACATCCTTAAAGAATCCAGTAAGGTGACAGCATCATGCTTAGGATTTGCTGCATGTATCTTACACTACAATTAATGAGTTTCAGCATGAAGATATTCACTCCATAGTTAACTTTTGACACCAAATTTTTTCCATAGAATTTTTCATCTCTGAATTTCTCAAAGTATATATTAATGGATTCAGCATAGGGGTAATAACTGTGTAGAACACAGTCATTAATTTATCAACAGGAAAGTTGGAAACAGGTCTAACATACACAAAAATACAGGGAACAAAAAAGAGCACAACCACGGTGATGTGGGAGCTGCAGGTAGAAAGAGCTTTTTTTCTCCCTTCCTGACTGTGAGTTTTAAGAGAGTTTAGGATGAAGCCATAGGAGAAGAGCAGGAGGATAAAGACCATCAAGCAGATGGCTCCACCATTGGCGACTACTGTCAGGCCAATAAAGTAGGTATCAGTGCACGCAAGCTCCAACAGTGGGTACATGTCACAGATGAAATGGTCAATGACATTGGGCCCGCAGAAGTGGAGACTAGACACAAAGACAAATTGAACCACAGAGTGTATAGAACCTCCAGCCCAGGATATCACCAGCAGGAGGATGCAAACTCGCTGATTCATGATGGTCAAATAGTGCAGAGGCTTGCAGATAGCCATATAGCGGTCAAGGGCCATCACCACCAGAAGGAAGACCTCAGCACCACCAAATAGGTGTCCCATAAAGAGCTGACACATGCAGGCTTGGAAAGAGATGATATTTCTGCCACTGAGCAGGTCGATAAGCAACTTGGGTGAGAAGACAGAGGAATAAACGGCATCCATGAATGACAGACAGGCAAGGAAGAAATACATTGGGGAGCCCAAAGAGGGGCTGGTGATGACAGTGATCATAATGAGCACGTTGCCCACCATTGTTACAGTGTAGATTAGTAAAAACATGACAAATAATGCCATCTGTCCATTACGATTCTGTGTGAGACCCAGAAGGACAAACTCTGTGACATTGTTACTAGGTTCCATTCAGCCTTCTAGAAGGCTTATTGAACAGAAAAGTGGTGAGGAAAGCAGACCCTTACAGAACATTGTGAAGGTGACAGTGATTTAGTCTATTACAAAGCACATCTCCATTGTTATATCTGCAAGAGCAATGAACACACAGCATTTAGTAAGCCTCTGTTGCAATTCTTTTCCAAACAGCCCAATAGCCTTGTGGATCATTCTAATTATACTTGGATGAATTTGTTGGGGCTACAAATCAGAGGGGTTTTTTTTTGCAGTGGGTATCTGTAGAGAAGAAAGATGAAACCATTCTAGTGATTCACACATTTCACACTTTCTTTCAAATATGTAAACTTCATGACACAGAAATCAGAAAGAATAAATAGGAGAGAGGCATTTGCTCTGGGGAAATCTGTTCTCCAGTCATGGAAATGAATCCTAAGTACCTTAACTAACATAGATACAGTCTTTCAAACTGATGGCATTTGTAGGGAATAATGTCACAACACAATCTGTGCCCCTGAAGTGACATCTGTCTGTGAAAGTTCAGGTCGTAGTATGAAAGAGCATTATGAGGTTTCAGTCATGCAAATATAAAAGAACTTTGAGTCTTATTAATCTCTTATTAAGTACTAAAGGTTTGAATTGTGATTTATCAAAGAGTATTAAATCATCTGGCACACTATTCCTTGTAGAAAAAATTGTATGCATCTGATCATCAGATTTTTCAAAATCTCTGATTCTTTCCATTTTATTCTTGCATCTTGCAAATTCCTGAAATATTTACAAACACTATCCTTCTTTGAAATAATTCTTATAACTAATGAAAACTGAACCTTTAATGTCACTGTCTACTGCGTTAGGACATCACTACATAGATTACAAAAACATAGCCTCCTGCAGGAATAAACTCATATTCAGTGTAAGACAGCATCACTGTGAATCATTCTTTTAAAATGATATCAGAAATATTGAAAAACTAAAGGAATTGAACTACACAATCTCAGAATCTGTCCAGAGAAACTGATACAATATGATTAGTGCAACCCTGATACCTTTTAATATGGTGATACTTTCTTCTTACATATTTATATAATCAAGTAAAAGTATTCAATTCCGTTACTGGATCCTGAAAAACATTATCCAGTGGCAAATTGGATATTACAACTACAATGACCAAATAATTACGAAGGTTCCATTTAGTGTAAATGTAAACAGCATCCAACACATTCTCAGGGCTCCAGCATAGCACGATCTGGAATAATGGAATAATGAGATGTAGAGCTTGTGCTGCAATCCCAGGTTAATTCCTTTTCTATCTACATGACCTTCAGCAAGTTAATAAATATCCATGTGCTTCCATTTCATCAATTTTAGTATGAGATATTGAGAACATCTATTCCTGGGTTTATTATTATACGTACAGTTTCTGGACCACTGTGGGACACCAGATAAAAAGTTAAAAAAAAAAAAAAACCTGATACCTATTTTACTGCTTCCAAATGGTTCACTGTGAGGATGGTATCGTGAAAGATCACCAGAATCTCTCAATTTAATAAGCATTATTAACAGGATGTGATGAATAGGTGTAACTGATAAACCCTATAGGATAGACTAAAGTGAAATTGTATTTCTTAGAATTGCATTTTTATTACATATAAGTACCAGCAATATTTACCTACGAGCAAATATCTTCTCAGTAAGAGAAAAAAGGAATACTCCGCACATGTGAATATGAGAGTAAAAGAAGATGTGCAGAATTCAAGTTGTTACTGAGACCACCTGCACTGGCCCTTCTGGAAGTCTCACGCACAATATTGTGCATCCCATTCCTGAAATCTGCCTTTGTTGAAGTGTTATAAAGAAAGCACAATCCTGTTCAAAAATGTAAGAACACAAAGCCGTCTATATCCACTTTTCTTCTTCACATCTTTCTGCAGCATTAGTGACTTTACTTTTATTACCAATTCTGAGCTTCACTGAGAAATCTTCAGCTGATCAGAATAATTATTTACATAACACAAAAAATAAAACAATGAAGCTCCACTGAATGCCGTGGAGTTTAAGTTATCAAATATTTGATACCACAAAATAGACAAATAATATAAATATGTTGTCAACACAAATCATGAAATCTTTCAAAACACACAAATTTAAGAATATTTTTAAAAACCCTAGATGTTTAAAAGTGTTTTGTCTTGTACTGTGCAAAAATAAGTGACCATAGAAGAGACACTTCCCTGTTCACAGATTGCTCTCAATATATGCACTAGCATGCTTGCTAGGATAATGCTGAGATTAATATATGTAAGCTGACATAAATTTTACCCAACAAAATAAACAGTGCACTGATTCAATACTCATTAGGTTCCACAATTTTAAAAATTCTAATTCAAATATATCAAAAATAATTATACTTCTATGTTAATTTATCTTAAAAATATAATATTCCATAAAGTAGAGAAATATTTTGAAAAATTAATTTTCCAGATGACTTACATACTCTTCCAGTTTTAGTACATTACCTGAATTTCACTCTGTCCCAGGCATAATTCACTATTTTCCTTTGCCTGTTATTTTAATAAATTTTCATCTTAGATCTTGTCTATAGTCTTGAAAACCAGTGTTTATATTATTCAAGGTGACTGCAAGTTTCTCAGTTGCCTATGTGTCTTCACAAAACATGTTATAATTCACAGCTGACTTAAGGATCCAGAAATAGTGTCCAATGGTTCCAGAAAACATATTTTTGGAACAGACTTCTCAACATCTCACTCAGAAGTGTAAAATAAGCCAAGCCAACACCTAAAATATAAAGACAGCTACAGATCATATCTATATGTGTGGTACAAACATAGTTAAGCATTTTCTACTAGTGGGAAAGCATCTCCGTAGAAAAATAACAATGCCATGTTTGCACAGCTATACAAAAGTTGACCTAGTAAGTGGAAACTTTCCTGGCCAAATTCAATATATGATGGCACAAATAAACAAAACTTTGTTCTATAATTTTCCTTCTTTTCCACTGATCCTGTTGAAATAACTACAAAAGCACTATGCTTTCAGGATTTTCAAAAACACTACAGTGACTGACCAATAAGCCGTGCATGTAGTGAGCCAATGTCCCCTGTTCACTTTCTTCAAAAAGTGAATAAAATATTTTCTCACAAGGAAAAACAAAATTCCGGTCTCTCAGCTATTCAAAACACACATTTAAGGCCTCTTCTTTCTAAATTAAAAATATATGTTTATCCTTCCATGTTCCTTGCAGGAAATAGAGACTTTCACCAACTTCCAGGACCACATACAAGCTAAAGATGCCCTCCAATTTGTTCTGAAATTGAGTTGTTAAAATCACTAGGGTCATTACAACACTCAATGACTTTCTTATATCATGATTATTTTGGCAAAATACTTCATTAGAATATTTGGAATAAATTCAAGTGAAGTAATCTCTCCTGAGCAGGTTTCTTCCCATGAGCAATCCCCTTTCTTGAGTCTTTCCAAAAAAGTTGAGCGGACTGCAAAGTGATATGAAAATGTCTCCTGAAAAATTAAACATTTCAATGTGCAATGTTCAATAAAATATGAGTTGTAAATTATTAAATATTAAATAATCTAAGTGATATTTAATCCAGCCTGAAAAGGAGGCAGTCCAGCTTCGCTCACCAAGCACACACTAGCAAAGATGATCTTCCTCTGGATGTTTGAGGGACTCTACCCAAGGAATTCTGAGGCATTGGGGAAGGAGTTTTCAAGTGGAAACTCTATTGTAGCTGTTCTAATTCTTGAAAAGATAGATAACCACAGTTGTGAACTTCTATTTGAAGCAGAGGCATTTGATTAAGGCCTGAGTCTTTGTCTTATGGGCTGTAATGAATTTCCTTCTATAAATGAATTCTTTAACTCAATTTTATATTAATTCTGTAATTGCTGCTAAAAGAATGAAAGTTTAAAAAATGAACAAAGTTTATGGTTTTCTAAAGTTATTTCCTTAATTTGGTTTGCCATTGGCTCCATTAACTAGCACTTCTATCATCCTGTTAAATTACATATTGAATGTTGTGTGTCCAAAAATCCTAAATTATGTACTGCCAATAATCTGCAACATGATCTTCCACTTTAAGACAACAATAGCACCTCAAAAGCACCCTTAAGGGATCTCACTACTCTCAGGTCCTGAAAAGATAAGAAAAAAGCAGTAGCAGAGACCAACAAAGAATGAGACAGAGAAAGAGAGATACACATACAGAGCGAGAGGGAGAGGGACAGGGAGAGAGGGAGAGGGACAGGGGGGGAGGGAGAGAGAGAAAGAGAGAGAGAGAGAAACTGTTTTTTGAAAGCCAAGTAACAAAGTTCCTTTGAGTCTTACAATGATGCATTCAGAGTTTTAAAATTGTCAAAGCCCTATATAATGAGCAGCTTTTATATAAGCCTCCTTTTTCTTAATCGTTGGATTCTGTAAGTAAATTTTTTACTTCTTCTTAGGCTTCTGAAGATTGTTCTCAGCAATGTATGTTCCTATATTGGGTTTCTTTTGGGCATAATCATAAATTAATATAAGACACAATGATGCCCCAACCATTCCCATTTTTACCTCTCCTCAGATCCCCTTTCTCTTCAATAGTTGCCTACCTACTTTTTAATAATTAATGCATTTTGCCTGCCCTAGAAGTCCTTGCACCTTAATCTTTTACTGTATGGAAACTTTCTTTTTTCTGATAGTTCCTTGGACACTCAAATCTGTTTCTCACTTCCTGGATTTAGACCCCTGGCTTTGTAAAGTATTTTTTGTTTGTTTGTTTGTAAGGTAGACGACCATATTACTAAATTTCTGTTAGATCATTGAACAGAAGGGTTCACATTGCTAATGTCTGAGTGTATAGCCACTATTAATGCTTTGATTTTGTAAGTTTAACAACTATTTTTAGGATGACAATATATAAAGTATCAACTAATGCTTTTATGATGTTAATTTTTAGAATCCTGTCTTATTCTACTTCTTTCTCTTTTTTCTCTTT